TTTTTTTGGTGGGGGGGTGGGGGTGTTGGGGGAATCTGCTGTATACATTATTTTTTCGTGTAGGATTAGTTATCACCTACCAGGTTCTGGGTAATTTAATATGAAGTTATGTAACAATTTAACTTTTTTTTTTTTCTCTTCTTGTGGATAGTTTGTGAGAAAGTGGAAAGCAAAGGGAGGACTACATATAACGAGGTTAGATGGCTCAGATTATCGTGTTTTCCTATCAAATTTTTATCAGAACTATATTATTTTAGAAATGCAGTATAAATGCAAGGCATTTGATGTTTCCTTTTTTTAATTTTCTTTAAAAAAATCTTCTATAAATTCTCCAACATGTAATATTGTTAACCATCTTTTCAGGTGGCAGATGAACTTGTTGCTGAATTTACAGATCCCAACAATAATCTTGCAACACCAAACCAGGTACATGGCCGTTTTTAAATTTTCATCACGCCTCCTTTAAGTAAATTAGAAAAACCAATATTTGTGCTATAAAATTTTCTATTTCATTATATGTTCAATTTTCATTGTATGTTCCAGCAACAATATGATGAGAAGAATATACGTCGAAGGGTATATGATGCTCTCAATGTGCTAATGGCAATGGATATAATTTCTAAAGATAGAAAAGAAATTCAGTGGAAGGGTCTGCCTAGGACGAGCTCGAGTGACATTGAAGAATTAAAGGTTAGACTTTTTTATTTCCTCTTGTTACTTAAATTTTGATTTCAACTAACCCTGTTTAAACATATATTTTATTGCAGACTGAATGTATTAGGTTGAGAAATAGAATTGAAAAGAAAGCTGCATATCTTGACGAGCTGGAGGAACAAGTACAGAAATTTGAATTATTTTTCCTGTATTTTTATGGGGTTTGCTGGAAAATGATCCCTTTTGTAAATAATTGTCTAACTGCTTATATTTTCTTTATTTATTCATTTTTTTTTATGCAGTACATTGGTCTTCAGAACCTCATACAACGTAATGAGAAACTGTATGGTTCGGGAGATGCCCCAAGTGGTGGAGTGGCCTTACCGTTTATTTTGGTTCAGGTTGAATTATTTGGTATTTTAGAGAGTTGTGAGTTCTTAATTAGCACTTTAATAAAATTTTATCGAATATTTAATGGAGCTCTTATATTTGAATTGTCTTCTCTTCGTTGGTATATCTAATATTTGAATTGTCTGATCTTTTTAGACTTTTTTTCATGTTGATTTCACGATAAAAAACCATTTGATTAGTCCTCCTTCAAGATGAATTACAGAAATTCGTTTTTTTTTTTTTTGGCGTGTCGTTGATCGGTTGCTCAACTGCAGACTCGTCCTCATGCAACTGTGGAGGTTGAAATATCAGAAGACATGCAGCTTGTGCATTTCGATTTTAATAGGTAAGGCAAATATACGAAGATTTTTGTGCTTTTATCAAGCTTTTTTGGTATATGCTTCACAAAATGATATTTTGCTGTTCTCTCACTGGAATCGAACTATTTAATTGAATGTCAGCACCCCATTTGAGCTACACGACGATAATTACGTTCTTAAGGCAATGAATTCCTGCATGAAAACATCCGCAAATTGCACGGCACATAATATCCGTAATGTTGGAGGAGAAAATTCGAGAATGGCCAATTTGTACCGAAAATCTCAACAAACATCCCATCATCAGAGAACAAACTTATCCGGATATTGAATGCCCGCTGCTTGAAGCACGAGCATTAGACTGTTCGTGTCGTGTTAGTGAAGAAAAACCGTGAATTTTCTCGTCAAATCTGTATATATTTTTTTGTAAAATGCTGAACAGGATGAGTTTTTTTTCTTGGTTAGGTTTGTTTTTATTTTTATTTATTTATTTATTTATTTATCTATTTTTGTTGTTTTGACCTAGTAGTTATCATATAGATTACATGATCTTTCAACTGGTTCTGTTCTGGCAGGAAACTCAAGTGACTTTTAAGTTTTAAGTTAAATGAGTTTAGTATTGGGACTAATTCTTACTGCAACATCTTGTTGGGTTTCATGTTCATGATTAGTTTGAATTAACATTGGGCCGAGCTTGTATGAAGTTTGATTGTTCAGTTGGGCTTTTCCAGGCCCATACTGTGTAAACGGTGTTGTTTACTTCATGTATTGGGCCATGACAAACTGTAATAAACTCTCCAAGTTAGTATTTTTCTTACATGTTCACTGAACATATAAATTATTTATAAACGAGTCATATTATAAACGAGTCATGAATCAAAATAAAAAATAAACTGAGCAAGAAAATAAACTACAAAGCAACAATTTATAAACTCTTACAATTAGTACATTTGCAGTTGGAAAAAATAAAAAATAAAAAATCGCAGGTATGCAAATAAAAGATGTATACATGTGAAGGGTGTACTTTTTTCGGGCCATGACCACAAATTTCACACACACCCGCATGGGCGGGTGTGTGTTGTGAATGTGTGGCTAAAACCCCATGGGACACTATCCATGGAGGTAGCATCGACCCTTCCCTTTTTTCGATCTTTCTGAGCTGAAATCATGAAAATGATGGTTGACTTTATTCTTAGGTAAATATGGAGAGTTTTTTTATCATTGAATTACATACACTCGAATTCTTTATTGAATCTAATATTTGGTAAAGTATTATGCAAATTTTCTCCATTGTTATAAATACACTCCCAATCAACAATTATGATTTTGATAGTTATTGACTTTTTTTTTTTTTAATTTAATAAAAGATACAAATAGTTGTGGAAAAAAATTATGAAAATGAGAGGGGGGCGGCGGCCGGCCCCCTCACTCATTGCACTTGCGTGTTCTTTTATCGACTCTTTATGAATACTTATTAGTACAGTAATGCTTACCTACCCACAGTGGACACATGCTAATATGTCCACCGTTTATGTGGCATGTACACATTGGTGATGTATTTTTTTGAACATATTAACATCACCAATATGTGTATACCACATAAGCGGTAGACATATTAACATGTGTCCATCATAGGTAGAAGAACATTATTCCTTATTAGTTTGTGTGGTAACTTCACTATCTATTTATGGGACCCTTTTTTTTTGGTTTCGTGTACAAGTTTTGCCTTATTGAGATTAATAAATAAATGTTTTCAATTATTTTTAGATATATGATATTAATTTAATTTCAATAAATGTGTGCACACATCAGATGACACGAAGAAAAAAATATAGTTCACACACGTAATAATTATTGTTCGTATTTAATGAGGTGGGCACCATATCCTATTATATTAACTTGGTCCAGAGTTAAGATTACGTCACTGCTCACGTCTCAGATGACCTCAGGCCCATGTACGGCTTCCTTCGCATTGGGCCACGTTGCAATACACGAGTAACAGTTGTGTTGGTAATTTATTGACTTAAAACACTTTTTTTTTTTTTTTTTTT